TACGTGCCCATCATTTTCCTGAAAGACCACGTCGTGAAGACAGGAATGGGAACGGGAGGGGATGCCGTCAATCTCATGGTGTTCTTCGGTCTCTCCAACGCTTTCGGCAGAGCTTTCTTCGGATATATCGCAGACTTTCCATCACTTAATCGTATTATACTCTATGGTCTGTCTGTCCTGTCATACGGTGTGGCCATTGGTTTGATCGCTGCTTTTGGACAAAACTATACACTTCTCGTCATTTTAATCATTATTTTTGGTTTAACTGAAGGTTTGTCTCAATGTTTCAATACTTTGGTTAATGTGTTCAATAATCTGATGGCATTTTAGGCGCTTTTATCACCCTATCATCGGTGGTAATCGTAGACTTGTTTGGTATAGAAAAAGTAACCAATGTATTCGGGGTCATTAATCTTGTTGTCGGTATTTCCTCTTTTATAGGACCACCACTTATAGGTATAGTTTCGTAATTAATTATTCTTTAAAAAAAATTTCCCAAAATAGGGAAAACTTTTGATGAGAAGACTGGATACAGAACAGGCTTTTGGATAACATCTATACTTACGATAATAAGTGGAGTTTTACTCTTATTTTTGCCATTAGTACTCAAAAAGTTTCAACAAATTCAGAAAACTATTAGCGTTTGTGTTGAAAATAATTCATAATTCTCAATAAAGTGTACAATATATTAATAAAACAAATACTATTATCACAAATATATATTTAATAATTAATTAATTTTAAAAAAGGAAAATATTTCATTCATAAAAACAAACAAAGAATATGGTTCCCAATCAAAAGACCTAATTTTGTTTAAAAAACTTAATTTTGATCCAATACAATTATATAAGGGAATATTAGATTGAAGTCGTTTTTTTTGCATTTTTACCATAAATTAGGTTTTTTGATCAAAATGAGGTCTTTTGATGAACCACCAAAAAATATATATATACGATATGTAAGTATTAGAAAAGTTGTCATAATTTTGATGGGTTCAGCTGTTCCCGGGCACCAATAGGGATACCCAGAAACTACTTTCAACACTACTGACTCAGTAGTACTGAGTATCATTACTACTACGAAAAGTTTTGAGTCACTTTTGAGTTTGAATTCATGTTTGCATTCAATATCGCAGTAACATCAGGGACGATTTCACGAAATGAGTCTTTTAACTCTTTTAAATATCTGTAATAGTGGTCAACAGTACTGTGCTGTCAAAGACTTATTTGGTTAAATGATCCAGATATATTAATTATGGAGCGCATTATACATTTACGTACTATAGTATAGTAACTATACAGTACAGTGGATCATTTGAATCTGAAACTTTGAAATTCTGGTCAATAATTTGCATTTAATGGTCGGTTCTTCTGAGATCATACATCGCACAGCACCGGATGGGGGATGGGGTTGGGTTGTGGTGTTTGGATGCTTTATGATCAGTCTTATAAACGATGGATTTTTCTACACTACGGGTCTGTTTTACGCCAAATTCCTAACGGAATACCACGAGTCAGAGGCAATCACTTCATTGTTTAACTCCATTATGATGGGAATATACTTTTGCTCAGGTATTAGCACTTCTCAACTCAATTACCATTAGTTATATCAGAATATTCTGTGCGAACACTGTTTAGGTCCGGTGGCCGGTGGTCTCACAAAAACCTACGGGTGCCGTAAAATAGCAATCATAGGGTCTGTTATAACAGTATCGGGAATGTTAACCAGTATTATATTGGATAACATTTATACCCATTGTTTAACACTGGGTGTCATAGCTGGTAATTCATTTGATTCAATAACTGATAATGAATTTTTATAACCCTTTCTAACAATGATTTTTTTTGGGACGGGTAGGTACAGGTCTGGGTTTATTATTCTTAACAAAAGTAATGATAGTCGCGTATTGGTTTGACAAACGGTTATCATTGGCCACAGGGATAGGTGTTTGCGGGACTGGTATAGGAATAGCTATATTCGCGTTACTGTCGGACCATTTGATAGAGACGTACGGCTGGAAGGGAGCGATGCTTCTGCTGTCGGGCCTTATGTTCAGTTGTGTCGCCTTTTCGTCGCTCTTCCGGAAAGTGGATTACATGGAAGAGAAGAGTGACCTCAAGACAGCCCTCAAAGAGACCTTTGACTTCCGTATCCTTACGGATGTGGTGTTCGTATACTTCTCTTTCGCCAACTTCTTGTACGGTGCCGTCTATTACGTGCCCATCATTTTCCTGAAAGACCACGTCGTGAAGACAGGAATGGGAACGGGAGGGGATGCCGTCAATCTCATAGTGTACTTCGGTCTCTCCAACGCTTTCGGCAGAGTTTTGTTTGGATATATCGCAGACTTTCCATCACTTAATCGTATTATACTCTACGGTCTGTCTGTCCTGTCATACGGTGTGGCCGTTGGTTTGATCGCTGCTTTCGGACAAAACTATACAATTCTCGTCATTTTAATCATTATTTTCGGTTTGGCTGAAGGTTTGTCTTAAAATATGAATACTTGTATTATTGTATTCAACTGTTAATCTAAACTACAAATATACTCCAGGTACTTTTATTACTCTATTGTCGGTAGTAGTGGTGGACTTGTTTGGTATAGAAAGGGTAACCAATGCATACGGACTCATTCTATTCATTATAGGTACAGCCACCTTTATAGGACCACCACTTATAGGTATTAATTAAATTAATTAATTAACTATTTATCATAAAAACATTTCTCAAATATAGGAAAAACTTTTGATCCCAAGACTGGATATACGACAGGCTTTTGGATAACAGCTATAATAATGATAATAAGTGGAGTTTTATTTTTATTTTTGCCATTAATTCACAAAAGGTTTAAACAGGGTTTAAGCCAATAAACTATTATTAATAGTGTTAATACAGTACAATATTTAACAAAATAAATATTATCTCATAAATAAATATATTTATTATGCATTCACTTAAAAATGAACAAAAAAGTAATTCATTCATAAAAAACAAACAAAACTATACATAAGTATCGGGAAAGTAGTCATCACTTGATTGGCGCGTTCATTGTGAACACTGTTTAGGTCAGGTGGCCGGTGGTCTCACAAAAACCTACGGGTGCCGTAAAATAGTAATCATAGGGTTTTTCATATCAGTGTCGGAAATGTTAAGCAGTATTATATTGGATAACAATTATATCCATTGTTTAAAACTTGGTGTCTTAACTGGTAGATTCCATATCAATGATAATAAGCGGAATTATATTTAAATTTTTGTCATTAATTCACAAAAAGTTTGAACACATTCTTAAAACTACCATGTTTAAGTAAAAACTAATATTTAATCATTTTCAATTAAGTTTCTATTAAATTCAATATCGGTATTAATAAAACACATATTATTATCATAAATATATTTATTAATTATTTATTTATTAATTCACTTAAAAATTGACAAAAAAGTAATTCATTCATAAAAAACAAACAAAACTATACATAAGTATCGGGAAAGTAGTCATCACTTGATTGGCGCGTTTGTCATCAATTTACACGTTATGAGACCTTTTGTGGTGACAAACGGATTACCACTCCATTCGGCCAAACCGTTATGCGATGTCTTCATCTCCGTCTGCAGTTTCTCCCAAATCTTCTTCTTTGGATTCAACACTTCGGGCACCGAATCGGACACCGAATAGCCCTCACAGAAGACCCGCTCCCCGGGTTGGCTACCGGGCGGCGGGTTCAGGGGCTCCACCTGTCGGGGCTCGTCGGTCGACGCGCACAGAATCATGCCTTTGGACTCAATTCCGCGCATTTTTGCCGGCTTTAGGTTCGCCAACACCACCACCAGTCGGCCCTCGAGCTGTTCCCGAGGCACCAATTGGGCCAAACCTGACACCACCGTCCGCGTGGCACCGGTAGGTTCGCCCAAATCTACTTGAGACACGTACAGTGAGTCGGCGTCCGGATGCTGTCCATTCATAAAACATATTTTGTAAGCAATTAATTACAAAACACGGCGACTATTAGCCAATTGATGCAAACCTTATTGATTTCGACAATCTTTCCAACTCTGATGTCTAGAAGTGATGGATTGATATCATTATCACCAGACGTCACAACTTTGCCCTCTATTTTGAGACATTAATTAAGAAAAATTAATCATAAAATGAGACATAATTGCAAACAATGAACGCATACTTTTGTTGAGCGGCGGATACGCGCTGTCCGTCAACTTCTTGAGCTTCGGGTCTTTAAATACTTCGCGAATGGGATCTAATAAGCGATTCAAGTACTTCTCGACCGCCAACTTCAGGTCTCCCGGATGTAAGCGCTGAACATAATATCAAAATCCATTAATAGTATTACAAATACCAGAAAACCATTCTCAAGACACCAACCATTTCGACAAAATCCGATTCGAGGCTTTGGTACTCTTTATAGATAAGGTTCCCTCCGTTCGCTTCTTTGCGGTTCACTTCAAACGTGTCGAACAGCGAGAAGACCACGTGTTTGACAAACGCCAGGACACCGTTGTCCTCAACCTTTCCCGGCTCACAGAACGCACGCTTCAGCTTCTTCTTGACCGCCTCCGGAGTGTCCAACAGA